TTTTGTTGTTGCCATTCTTTGGACTAAAAATTTGGATTTTGCGTTCATTAACTTTTTCCTGTTATTCTCTTTTAGTGAGTGCATTTTGCTTACGCTCTGACATTTTGACACTTTTCAGATTTTAGTCAAAAAAGATAAGGAATGAACGTATTATTTCTAAAAGCGCAATTTTTTATTTTAAGCGGGGGAATAGCAGAGGTTACATTGCCGTCTTAAGAGCGTGTCAGACCGGGCGATGCAGTATATTTCAAAAGACTGTCAGATTGAGAAATTTCAGAAAGCAGTTGCATGAGCAGTGGCACCTTGCATGTATGTATGTAAAGTGTCTTTCGCTCCTTGACTGTTTACACGGCGAATGAATTTCTAGCAATATTTCTCAATACTAAAATGCAACCGTGAGCCGCTAAAATAAACAAATTTATAAAAACAAGATAACGAAAAATAAATGGATTTAGAAAAACATATGAAATGGGTCGATACTATCGATAGTATCGATAGTCACCCTTAAGACTATCGTAAAACATCGATGGACTTGACTATCGATAGTTTGACAGCTCTACTGACTGGTTGCGCAACGTCTTCTTCTTCGTTTATGAGACAGAAGCAGGGCAGATATAATACGATGTTTCCACGCATCGTAACTCGCTCTCCCATTCGTCTTGCCAATTACCTTCCGAATTACGTAATTCGCCATACAAAATTTTGTATTTGTAACATTGCTCTCAGCTCGATTGGTGCAATCTTATATTCTATCATGCTTGTTTAATAATTATAAATTATTCGTCTCATTGGGTTCCAGAAATTGGATTTAATTTTTTCAGTGTTCTACACGTTGTATTTTAAATATTTCAGTGTTGCAGCATCATATTTAATAGGTTGAATAACAAGTATATTTTATTTAAAATATCTCTTACGTTCGATTTCTTTTAAGTGATTCTTTGTTTATTTGTATAACATTCTGTTTAGCTGTACTTAAACGGTACACTGGATACTTAAAATTCACATATTTTATTTGTCAATTTGTATATATTTTCGTAACTTTTAACTCGATCGGTGCCGCGACCGTACACTCAAGAAGCCATTTTGCGACTGATTGCAAATTCTTGCTGACTAAAATTTGTCCAGCGAGAATTTGCAACTTCTCTCCAGGAGAACTGTCAATTTGCGCTCAGTTTTTGAGTGATGGATAATTTTTTGGTCTCCACGAACGCGATTTGGGCAAAAAATTATGATAATTCGTACAAATTTTTTACTCGACGAACAAACCTAGTGTTGCTAACCGAAAGTACTCACATTTTTAATTCATTCACAATCATCACATGCCGGATAATTTTTTTGTTTACGTTTTCTAAATTATCAGCTGTGATATTTATTTGGATAGTATTTGGAAATATGTCGAAATCGTTGAAATCTTCTAAAAGCTCCAGCTCCCGTGAGGATGAAACCAATTTGATCAACTTTTCCTTTTGCGATCACAAATCCAGCTTCAGACATTTGCTCCAAGGGGATGATAAGTATTTGGCTCCTATAGTAGAAGATGAGGCAGATTTTTGGAAGTTCGCCAATAAATATGAAAGCATGCTTAGAAATGCTGGACAACCAATTCTTATTAAGCCCTTGCATGACGCTGATATGTATGATCAAGAAACATTTCACAAACGCAAATATATATCATTGGAATTAGAACGGGGTACCAAATGGGAACAATTAAGACGAGGTTGTCACAGTAGCGACGAAAATATATTTACAAAACAGAGAGCCCGACAGTTCAGAGAAATTGTGCTTACTTATTTGGACTTCAAGCAAAAGGAGAAATTTGGAAAAATTAAACAATTGCGTAAAGCACAAAAATCACTACCAATTTCTCGCTTCAAGCAAAAAATAGAGGAGGAGCTGAAGCGAACACGAGTACTGATCATTGCTGGTGACACCGGATGTGGAAAATCCACGCAGGTGCCTCAGTTCTTATATGAGTTTGGATATCGTAGCATAGCTTGTACACAGCCACGCCGTTTGGCATGCGTCTCGCTGTCAAAGCGTGTGGCGCATGAAATGCTGGATGACTATGGTTCAAAAGTTGGTTTTCAGATACGATTCGAAAAAAATAAAACCAAGAATACAAATATACTATTCATTACCGAAGGCTTATTACTGAGACAAGTAAGTTGTATTCGTATGTATTTTCACTTTATTTACGTTTGGTTTAAAATACTTTATCTGCTTTAGTTGGCAGTGGAAACAAATTTAGAGCAATACGATGTTCTCATATTGGATGAAATACACGAACGTAATCTATTTGGCGACTTCTTGTTGGGAGTTACAAAATGCTTGCTGCATGCTAAGCCAGAGCTAAAGCTAATACTTATGTCGGCAACCATAAATGTAAACTTGTTTTACAATTACTTCGAGAATGAAGGGTCTGCGCTAATTGAGGTACCTGGAAGATTATATCCAATAAAAACCATGTTTATGCCTCCTGCAAGTTTGGAATTGAAAGGTGGCGCTGGAGGCAGTAAGAGTTCTTCCAAAAGCTCCAATCGTTTGGATCCAGCACCATACATACAGGTGCTAAGCTTGATAGATCAGAAATATCCGAGTATGTTGGTACAAAATCTATTCAAAATACTTATCAAATAATAAACTAAATAAAATCAAATTTTAGCCACGGAACGTGGAGACGTACTGATCTTTGTCAGTGGTGTAAACGAAATCGCTATAGTTTGCGATGCAGCCAAGGAATACTCTGAGCAAAATTCCCATTGGATTATATTACCTTTGCACAGTGGTTTGGCTTTAGCTGATCAAGATAAAGTGATACTACTTTGTATTTACATATAAAATGCCGTACAATGTAAGTTTTTTTAATTTATTTTCTTTAGGTTTTCGACTACGCTCCTGAGGGCATGCGTAAATGCATAGTATCCACAAATATTGCTGAAACGTCGCTCACAGTGGATGGTGTGCGTTTTGTTATCGATTCGGGCAAGGTGAAGGAAATGAGTTATGATGCTAGTTGCAAAGGTCAACGACTAAAAGAATTTTGGGTATCGAAATCATCAGCTGAGCAGCGTAAAGGACGTGCTGGCCGTACTGGACCGGGCGTAAGAAATATTAAAAACAACACCTTGTCCAATAATTTATATATTTACATACATCTATATGTATTCTGTAGACCTGCTTCCGTCTCTTCTCAGAGAAGCAATATGCCGCATTCGAAGCGTATCCAACTCCAGAAATCTTCCGTGTTCCACTAGAAACAATACTTTTGCAAATGATTGCAATGGGATTGCCAAATGTACGCTCATTTCCGTTCATTGAATCCCCGGAAGAGGAATCCATTGAACAAGCCATATGGTCCTTGAAGCAGCATGTGAGGAAATCACACATACTTTCACCTAAGATTTGTTGCCAACTTGTTTTTTCAGAATGCACTAGCTGTTGATGAAAAAATAACACCATTAGGCAGGTCACTTTCAAACTTACCAGTGGATATAACAATTGGCAAAATGCTGCTCATGGGTTGTGTTTTTCCTGATATTGAAAAAATATTAACTTTAGCAGCCACGATGAGCGTACAAAATCCGTTTACAAATCGCGCCTATACGGATCGCAAGTGTGAGGTGGGTACCAAATAATTTGAAAAAAATTGAATAAAGATAGTAATCCAAAAGTTTGCCAAAAAAATTTAAATATTTATCCACCGTAGCAAGAAAGAGAGCCTCTGCAATCCGACCAAGGCGACATATTCACGCTTTTGCGGGCTTACAATGAGTGGTTGGAACTTAAATGGAATAATGAAAATACCAGGAAGTGGTGTCATAAACTGGGAATTGAAGAGCAGCGGTATGGTAAAAAAACATTTAAAGAAAAGGCTTTTCATTTCTTCTCCCTTCTGCAGTTTCTATGAGATCACTAAATTGCGTAACCAATTTCAAAACATTCTCGAAAGTTGTAATATGACATGCAAAAACGAGGATACCACTCAGCTAACAAGCTCTGAGCGTGCGCGTCGTCACGGTGAAGTGCGCCAGCTAAGAGCTATGAAGCGTAAACAGAAATATCAGGAGCCTCGGAAGCGAAAGATTCTTAAGCATATCAGCTACGGTGGAGATGAAGAGTTCGATGATGCCGCTGCTGGCGATGATATACGTGATGTAGATTTTCGGCTGCAACACGATGCCGGAAAATTAGAAATTCTCTTACACTCTTCCAAAGTGGATAAATTACGCGATGTACTATTGCTGAAGCTAATTATAGTTAGTGGCTTTTATCCACAAATTGCTATCGCCGACGAATTCAACTACTGCAAAAGCGGCAGTCAACAGTTCTTTCACACCTTTCTCAAACCTTTTATATCCATACATCCAAATGCATATTTTGCAAAGTATTATGATGTACTGAAACTTAATGATAGCGACATCTTAGACAAACCAAACTATTATACACCAAAACAGTTGCTTAGTACACGGCATCAGGTGTTGTGCTATCAGTAAGCATTTAGTTTGCAGTGAAGTTACATTTTACATTCCTATGAATATTTCATTTATTTATTTTATTTACTGGTAGGAATTTGCTAGAGACGGCGAAGCCTTATTTGATGAATTGCATTCGTATGCCAGCTGCTCAAGCTCTACTCCTATTTTCCTATTCAGTCGATACGAATGCGTCAGTAACACGCATAGTGTGTGATTCATGGTTATGCTTGGAATTTCCTGTGCCTGAAACGGGCTGTGAGCTCCTATGCCGCGCCATCAAACTCCGCAGGCTGTGGGCCAAACTATTGTCACAAAAACTGACTGGTAAGTTAAAGTAAAAAAAAAATGTAATTCTTGTGCAATTTGTTGGTTGGCTTATGCTTTCTATTGTCTGCCGTGTATTCGCATTAGATTTAGCCAACAATGTAGAAAGTCAAAGTATTAAAAAAGAAAAACCCGCCAAGGATGAGGAGGGCGAACTTTGGGAATCGCTCATAGATTTTATGAGTGTCAATGTAAGCTACACAATAAAACGTTTGCTGCCAGCTGATTTGAAATCGCTTTACACGCACATAAAGCTTAATTCTGAGTTATTAAGCAACAATCCATTTGCTTCTGACTATGCGATTAGCGAAAATGATGAAAAAGGTGGTATAAACGTTGCTGAAAATGTGGTATATGGATGGTGGGTTAAATGAATATGTTTATAATTCAAAATATACTCCACCATTTAACACGTTTTCAACTTTGAAATTTAGTCTACAAGAAGTACAATGGACATTAGCAATGGAAGCTGAGATGCGCCAACATACGTGGGTTTGCAAAACTTGTGAAACGGAAATGGCTTTGGACACGATTGAGAAATTATTGCACAAAAAAGGTGAGTCACTTTTAAACTAAACTAAATAAGTGGTTTCGTTTTTTTTCTTGTTTTCACAAATATTAATTTAACTCTCGATGCACTTCTTGCAGCTTGCAGCACGGCTACTGCGGCTGCAGTTAAAAAACGCGATGCAGATTCTCCGCCCACTGCCAGCACTTCGAAGTCGGGCAAAGGTAGCGCCTACTTTTGTGAGACATGTCAAAAGGAGCTGCACATGAGTAAAATTGATATTTTGAGACACCGAAAATATTGCAATAGAACTGATCACGAATAGAGAAAAGTGTAGACGAAATGTATACATACATACATAAGTATGTAGATCACGATCCAGAAAATAATGTATTCTATCATTCTTGTATGTAGATAGCTTTTACTTGTGTTTATTACTCTCATTACATGGTCAGTTAAGTTAATTAATATACATATATATATTTTTATGTAAATGTTGCTCTTAACACTTAAATGTTAAGCTTATTACATCAGGTAAAATAATTTACATACATATGGAAGTGATTTACAAAATATGAGATGAGCACATTTAGTTAGTACAATATTTACATATGTATGTATATCGAATTAAGCTTACATTAACAATTTTCGATTTTTCTTCAAAAGATCGGGAGTCAACTATATAACTCGATTTTAAGTATATACACAACTAAAATATTTGAATTGTTAAAAAATAAAAGTAAACGAATGCGCATAATAATCTTAACCAAAATTTTATCTAGTATTTGTATAATATAAATACATAATATGTCAATAATACATTTTTAGTTTGATGTCAAAGTTTTTGTGCAATTTGACTCACTTCAAAATCGAGCTACATAGTTAATTCATTAATATTCTAATATATTCGTCAGTTAAATAACAGTAGCTGCATAGTTTTCATAACAAAAAATGATACTTTATTCGTCTAGTGTGCATTGTCGAATCGTGCGCCAATCTTAGGCACTCGCGGTGAGCGTTTGCGTTTTAGCTGCTAAAAAATAACGGCACCATAAAATTTGGCTAAAATAATGGAGGATAATAATATTTAAATTCTTACCTCGTTTATAGCGTTTTGGCTTTCCGCAGCGATAATAACTGGTATTTCAACAACTTGTGCTTGCGTTTGTTGTTGCTGCGGTGGTATCATATTTGGCTCCAACTTTTCCTGCTTGATCTGTAAATTATTGAGCTAGGTGGGAAGGACAGCCAATTTAAAATATTTAACTTTATATTTAAATCTACTTTATGCTGCCTACATTTCTTTGCAGGTGCTCTATATTTGTTGTGCTCACTAATGGGCCACTTGATCCACTCATTGGCCTTTGTGGCTGTTGTTGCTGCACCATGCGCTGTTGTGGCGGAGAAGCTTGATAGGGCGGCTGTGTTTGCTGATGAGAATTACCACGTAATACTTGTAATGGAATGAAAGCGCTTTTCTGGCTCATGCCTTCATTTGCCACGCCATGCCGTATATCAGCTGTCATATGCGGCATCTAAAATTATTCGGTACGTTAACTAGGTTTACATGCTTACTATACCATAAAAATTTAAATAAGTTACTGAAAATGCTGCAGTATGTTGCATTGGATGCGGTTGTAACGGCTGAGGTCTTTGTGGGTAGAAACTACTCATGTTGTTGTATGGCGGTGTTGGCATTGGCTGACAATGTGCCATATTGACGCCGCCATAGTGCATAAGAGCCGCTGACTGCGGCTGCAGAGGCCTAATCGATGTTATCGGATAATGCTGCTGACTGTTGTGGGGTTGTTGCTGAGCCTGCTGCGCATCGCTGCGCCAGCCTGCGGGAGGTTGGGGTAATTGCTTTTTCGATGGGTGGGCTGCTGCGCTGTTGCTTTGCGACAGAATAGTTGCGTTGTTCAGACCAAGTCCAAGTAAACTCTTCAAGGCTTGCGTCTCAGCTTGACACTCATTCCCACCAGCCACACTAGAATTGCTCGTTGCCGCCGAGTTTGGCGAGGAAGGGGCCGCGTTGATGCGAGATGCTCTATTTGTATTAGGCGACAGCTGTTGCATTTTTTGACCTTCTCCCGACAAAAGTGGTGCAGGCCTTGTAGAAGATTGTGCCACAATACTATTGATTTTACTTAGAAAATCTCCATTGTTATTCTCTATGTGGTTGCTTTGAGTATTCACTTGGCGCCATTCTTTTTCTGAGGTATGCTTTACTTTAGTTTCTGCCGCTGGCATCCAGAAATCGTCGTTACAACTGGTACTTCCACCTCCTTGGCGCTTGTTTCCTGTTTGTGTCGGTAGCGAAGTTAGAGGCATTGGTATGCTTTCTTTTTGCTGCAAAATAACTACTTTGCTCTTATTACTGCTGCTTGGCCCATTGAAGTCAGTCGGTTGACTTGGTTGCTGCTGCTGCTGTGCGTCACGCTGTAAATTGTTGGTGTTGTTATTTGCAAAATATCTGACGTCGTTTGTGAATTGGTTGTTTCTCGCATCTTGCATTTCGTTTTGCTTATTATCTACGATTAAGGATGGAAAGTAAAACGATTGAGAAGTGTCAAAAGCAAGAGTGCAGTGAAGTAAAAAAGTGTACATATCTAAATAAATGCAATGTACAAAAAAATCATGGCCCACCTTGGGTGAAAATTAGTAACAACGATGATTCCGACACCCTATAAACTCGTTCTTCTGCGATACCGTATTTATCATTGCCACTTGGTAGATGTTTGTCGAAGAGCACTTCGTAGAAAGTATCAACTGCTTTTACGCATTCCAACCGTACGGGATTTGGATCGATTACCGGATATACGCCTATAACTGTGCCCTTTGCACCTAAAGGTACCTATTTATGAAAAGGAATCGCGAAGGGTAAAAAAAAATTGTTCTCAGATTATTTCTCACTGTAAAAAATTAGAAAAGTACCCACCATGTAAGTAGTCTTAACTACTACAACGCGGTCAAATAATCTCACAGATTGCTTGGGTTTGTACATGTCTGGCAGCGTTACGTCAGGTTTCAGTAGAAGATGAGGCTTCACTTGTAGCTTTACAGTCTTTACAGGTAAAGTCTTGAAAGGAAAAAAGGAACAAAATAAAATGTGGAAAAGAATTATGTATTTTTATATTAAAATATATGCTAAATCATTCCACGCACCTTTAATTGTTCTATAGCGTCAAGCACGCCCTGCACAGCTTCCTTTTCCATAGTTTGTGAGCCACATGAACGTCTATCTGCTTGCATATGCTCCTGGCTATTTAGCCATGTAATAATTTCATCTACCTTATGTTCTCCAACTTCTTCGGGGAATAAATCTTCTTCAAAACAAAATTCATTACGCTCGGAGGAACGACTTAAATAATCGAAAACCATTGGGAATTTTTCAAAATAAGCTTGCACAAGTGAAATAGCCTTTGTTGAGTAAAACCATTGATTGTTGATGCGTCGGCAGTAGCCAGCACGTTCTTCTTGCTAAATAAAAAATAAAAAATTAAATGTGCATAATTATGTTACCCAAAATTTCTTAAATTTCATACCTGTTTAGGAAATTTGAATTGTAATCCAATATTTACTTTGGACACGTTTTCTGGCAGTTGCGCGCGTCTAGCGCCAGCTACTACTAATACCGTGCCAGTCACACGACCAAGACACTTCATCTGCAAGCCAATTGTGGCGGCTGCTTGAAAAGAGTTTACATAGTCGCGCTCTAATTGTTGTTGCAATAACTTTGCAGCAGAAAAATCTGGCTCCGGTAAAACTGTAATGTTTACTAAAGCAATGTGGGAAGGAATTTTAATGAATTTTAAACGATGAATTTGAAAATGTTTTTCAGTTTACCTTTTAAGCGGCCACATTCGTACACTAATAGTGGGTTGAGTACAGTTCCTTCACTTCCAAAGTATGGGCTACCCAAGAAAAACACCGTACTGTCGGTTGGAAATAAATTTTCCACTTTTTTCGGTTGCAACACAAAATTCTTTTGTACGGCGATTTCCGAAACTACCCCCTGAAATGTAGGGAGTTAACTATTTTTTTTTTTATCTACTAAACCCGTCGAGTTTACCTGAGCAGGATAAGCTGTCACTGATTGACTCCAGGCATCGTTTACTATAATTTTTCCTTGACTGCCGCAAGTGTACGTGGAGCCGATATATGTACGAACATGCACCAAAACTGTGAAGTCATCAAACTCTATGCCCATGCGAGTTGTGAGACTTAACAAAAAAAATAAGTTTTTGGATATTGTAGAAAATTATCACGTGATAGAGGTGCTGCTTAACTCACTGTTCTTGTGCCGTTTTCATATGTATTTGAAATAATCTTTGTTCCATGTCTTTTACACCATCAACATCAATATATTTTTCTTTGCTGGATATTCCAACGACCTTAGCTTTTATTAAATGTGGCCAGCCAGTGTAAACTACCTGATTCAAAAACTTTTCAGAAACGCTATAGATATCGTCGAAACCGTTGCGATTGTGCGGTTTAAGTATAAGATTTTCATTACGACTTGGGTGCTCGAAAACACGTATACGTGCACACTTTAATTCAAACTATTCAACAAATTTATAAAATTATGTATGTCATGTGTATCAAACATAAAACAGCGACTTACATTGTATTTTAAATGCTTCATTGTCGGAAATCCAGGGAAGAAAACCGTACGTGCTGCATTTGGCAATTCAACACATACAGTCTTATCGGACGGTATAGCGATTTCTTTGGACCAAATCTTCTTCTCAGTACAAAACACATGATATAGTGCTTTCATCGAGAAAATACCTGGTACGCTTTCTTGAGGTTCCGGATTGTAATCGTATTGCATCATTGGACCATGCCTATTTCGTTTTATTTCAGCTGGTGTGAGGTTTTGTTCACAAGCTTTCATGGCATGTAGTAAGAGCTTCTACGAAAAAATATATGTAAATATAAATATGAAATAATTTACTTTTGAGAGGAATGCATATGCCACAAATATTCTTACTTCGTCAATAAAAGGAATTAGGACCACCGCTTCCCACTCGTGTTTTTTACCATTTAAATCGGTTTCAAAGTCTTGTGGATAAAATTCCAGCAGTTCGCTCGTAGGGCTAGTCATTAAATCACGATATGCAGAAGGTAATAGGTCCCTGCTAGCTGCTGGTAGAACGGCCAAGAGCTTCAAAAAATATTTAGTAATTTAAAACAGCAATTCTTTGGAATGTGAGGTCGACTACCTGTTCGAATGGCAGGAATGGTTTACCCAGATTAAATTTAATTTTATAATCCTTGAAGTTTTTCAGGTCACTTATGAATGGTGCGTAATGATGGGGATAATACCAATCCCAAGATTGCACACCTCTATAGTAGTAATCCAAAATCCACTGCAATGCGGTAATATAGCAGATAGCTTGTTCACGTTTT